AAGAGGCTATTAAACTGGGCTTAAAAATCACCTGTGTCTTATCTATGGGTCTGTGTCTTATGCTCCTGCTGCTGCAGGGGTTGGGTGCCTCTGCTCATGGAGGTAGCCTTTTGCAGAGAGACTCCCGGCTAGGGGAAACATTGAACAGGAAGTCTCTCAGCTGAAAGACCCCAGCTGGAGCAGAGGCAGAGAGAGCCTCCCAGTGCAAGCAGTTAGGGGAAAGGGGCTGAGGGATGTCCTTGTACTGGAACAACTTTTACCACGTGCTAAACCTACATGTAGCAAACGTTTGGCTGAAGATGATGATTTTAATAATGTTAAATAGAAAAAGAAGAAAAGCAGACAATCCAATTATAGTTACATTATGCTTGGATTTTAGTGTGTCAGTATTACTGCAGAAAGTCCACAGCCCCAATTTGTTTTAAAATGTTAGTAAATGAAAGTATGAGGCCAGAGAAACTACAGAGACATTTAGAAACCAGACATCTGGAATTCATAAAAAAAAAGCCCAACAATATTTTCTTTCCGAAACTTGAAGAATTAAAGCAGCAATAAAGTAATGTCTAAAGAAGTGTCTGTTACTCAAAAAGCTTTACAAGCACATCTTATGTTGTGGCCAGGTGAATTGCAAAATGTAAACATGCATACACCGTTGGTGAGACCCTTCTATTTCCAGCAGCAATAGACGTGTGTAGAATTATGACTCGGTAACGAGCAGCCACGATGCTGAAAACCATTCCTATGTTAAACAATACCCTTCATCAATGTACTGATGACCTTGCAGAAAATGTCCAGGACCAATTGATGGAACAATTTAAGAAGAGCCAGTATTTCGCTCTGCACCCTGATGAATCCAGACATAGCCAAAATAGCTCAACTTCTATGTTATGTGATATTGATAAGTCAAAGCAAGTACAATAGTTGAAGAACTTTCATTTTGCAAAGAAATCCCAACCCAAATAACTGGTGAGGAAATATTCAAGGTTCTCGATAAATTTATAGTAGATGAAGGTCTTAACTGATGTGTGGGGGTCTGTGCACTAATGGGGCAGCAGCCAGGACTGGAAAGAACAGTGGGGTTGTAGCACAAGTAAAGAAAGTCACATTAGCAGCAGTTTTGAGACACTGCATGATTCATTGTCAAGCTTTGGCACAGAATAAGTTGAAACCTGAAAGTCTCTAGACCAGGGATCTCAAACTCAAATCACCACGAGGGCCACATGAGGACTAGTACATTGGCCCAAGGGCCACATCCCTGACACCTTTTCATACACAGATACAAAAGCCCCCTCTGGCCCTGCCCCCACTCCGTCCCTTCCCTGAGGCCCTGCCCCTGCCCCACCTCTTCCCACCCCCATTCCAACCCCTTCCCCAAAGTCCCCACCCCAACTCCGCCCCCTCCCTGCCCCTATTCCAAGCCCTTCCCCAAATCTCCGCCCCTGCCCTGCCTCTTCTCTGCCTCCTCCCCTGAGCACGCGGCTCCCCACTCCTCCCCACTCCCTCCTGGAAAGCGATAAGCACTGCCAAACAGCTGTTTGGCAGCAGGAAGCTCTTGGAGGTAGGCAGAGGAGCGGGGACGCAGCGCGCGGTGGGGGGAGGGAGGGTGGAGCGGAGGGGAGCTTGGTGTCCACAGGAAATAACTCGGGGAGGGGGGTCAGGGAACTTGACGGGCTGCAGCAAATAACTCAGCAGGCTGCATGTAGCCCATGGGCCACGTGTTTGAGACCCCTGTTCTAGACCCTCGATATCATTATTAAAATTGTTAATTTTATAAAATCCCAGACAGTGAACAAATGTTGTTTTAGCATTCTGTGTGAAGAGATGGGCTCAGCTTCTGTTTCACACTGAAGTCAGGTGGTTGTCATGTTGGGAAAGTGTTCCAGCACATCTTTGAATTGCATGATGATACCAGAATTTTCCTCCTTGGAAAAACTGAACTATTCTAGATTCTGGATTAACACAACAATACACAATGTCTCCACTCAACTCCAGAACCCAGCATATCCTGTGGCAAAGAACCTATCCCCTTCCTTTTCAAAAGAAATTATCTGCAGTTGAGACGGGATTCCTGGGACACCAGGAACTATACAACAGACGCATGAATGATAACCTAGTTCCTTCCTTCTCTGAATTCAGCCCATCCATGCAACAGGAACTGCTAGAAGCATTACAGAGTCACCTGGTGTGTCTGATCCCTTTCTGAATAGTGAAAGAGTCAAGTTCATTTGGGATTTTTCTGCTGAAACTGCCAACACCTATTTTGGGCAGGGAAATTTACCAGCAACTCTAGAAGATGCCATAATCTGGCCACTTTTTAAGGAAACAATTGTTCAGTGCAATGGACTTTGTCAACTATTGTCCAGTATCTAATCTTCCATACCTGGAGAGTTTATTAGATTGTTTAAGGGCTGCCTCCAACTTCAGCTGGATATAGCTGATATGCTGGACCTATCCCAGTCAGGCTTTAGGTCAGGTCATGGAACAGTGATGGCATTAACAGAAGATTTCCTATAGAACAAGGATCCTTAAACTTACCACTAGACCTTGCCTCAGCATGTGATAGAGCCAGACATGGAATCCTGTTGTCTCACCTCAACTACGGCCAGGCTTAGCAGGATCATGCTAAGATAGATTCAGTATATCCGCTCATTCTGCTCCCAGAGAGCCATGGTTAGGGTTACTTTCACCAGCAGAACACTCAGCTGCGGAGTCTCCCAGGCATCCATCTGTTCCTGTATCCTGTTCAACCTCTGTATCAGGCAACACCCGGCTGTATGAGAGCTTCAAATGAGACACAGAGTACCATCCCGCAGCTATTTACAGGTCTGAGCTCAGCATCCAGCTGAAACTGAATACTGGAAAGAATGAGGCAGTGCTGATGGAGAGAAATAAGCACTTGGAAGATCTCACTTAGTCTCAGAACAAAGCCTCTCTTGTTAGCATGACAAGTTACTGAGAACACATCACACCAGTACTCCACTCAGTTCTCTGGCTCCCTGTTGAATATTGGATCATAGTCAAAGTTTCAGTCTGCAATTTCCATGCCCTCCCTGGAATTGGACCCTGTTACCTGAAGAATGGCCTTCCATGTTGGCTGTATCCCACAAGAACAAGGAAATTGCTGACCTCAGAAGCGACACTTGTATTTTCCGGAGACCATTTTCTTGTCAACTGGCTTGTGAATCTGAGATTCACTCTTGGAAGAGGTGAGGAGGGCTACTGACTTCAGGTTCTTCAAAGGAGATTGCAAAACCCACTTCTTTGACTCTGCCTGCCCAAAATTTCACTGCACGCAAACACGCCAGGCACATACAATTAAAAGAAAAATAAATAAAATGCAGTTTCTGTTGGTTGAAGTGAGGAGTGAAAGTGAGAGAGATAGAGACACCTTTGTGAAAAATATCTATATTCAATTCTAACTTCAGGAGGCACTCAGATACCAGAGTAACAGGCACAGCATGGAAACATAGGTGGCTCTCGGCAGCTCTCCAACAAATGAGTGTTCTGCCTATTCACAAGAAACCATCCCTTTATACAATCAGTCTTGCCAGTTATTTCCATGTTCATATCTATCTTTTTTTTTCCTTTTGGAGGGGCGAAGATGTTAGAAGTTTGTGATAAAGGAACTCTTGAATTACCTATAGTCCTCCAATTGCCGTATTCCATTTCAGACAGCAATTACACCTTGATATTGCCCCGAGGCAGTGTTGGTTTCAGTAATTCATGAGCTAGACAAAGTTCAGGTGTGCATGTTGATTTTTTCTAAGATCTCCCTGGCTTTTATGTCACCTGGTAGTAATGTATTTGCAGTACCTGGAAGGAGTAGACAGAACTGCATAATCATACTGCTTATAGCTCAGATAATTACCCATCAAATGATCAACAAACCATACTTTAATCCCAGTGTTAACCCCAAAATGGTGCTGTGCAAATACATAATAAAATTCAGCTGCAATTTACCTGCACCATTAAAATAAACAATGAATACAGGCAACACAATCTTTTAGGTGATGTGACTGTATGAAGATAAATGGGACAGAATATAGCCCTATGGTAGGTAAAGCAGAGCCTTTAGATAGTGGCAGGACAACTGCCTCTTAGGGACTTGTCTATGTGGCAGGTTATGTGGCAAGCCAAGGTGTGAATCTACAACACTCAGTAACTTGCAGTCTGGAGGCTGCCACAGCATAACGGAAGTCCCGGTGTGCAGCTTAGCATATTGCTCTGTTACTCATTGAGCTGAGAGCTCACCCAGGAAGCCGAAGTTGCCGACTTCTAGCAGTAATTGATAAAGGCTATCAGTACCTAAATTTGTTTATCAACTAAGATATTTATCCTGATTTATAACTTAAGCCCCATGTTTCTGCTCTACCATGCTGTGCACTAGCCTTTCCTGAGTATCGTGCATTTTTATTGCTAGGAAGTCATCCTTACTTCCCCTGTGCCTCCTGACTTTTGTTATCTCTTTTGTTTGGTCATTATATATTTGGTTCTGAAATTAGATTGCAGATTCTTTGTTGCACGACCATGTCTTAATTTTATTTTTTGGCATCTACTGAGTGCACTTTGGGGCTTTATAAAGCAATACATTATAATAAATTGTGACTTGGGGACAAGGTTTTCTCAGTGCAGGGCCCTCTCTTGGATCAAATTCCAGAGCAGAGCCAGTGTTAGTTCTGCCTGATATGTTCCAGGGAGTGACTGTATCCTTTCTGTAGTGAATGAGGAGAGTTTTTTCTTTTTTAATAGGTTAGGAAGTGTGTAATTGTCATTTTTCCTAACATTGTGTTAATTTGGATGACTTTGTGCTCATAGCACAAATGGGAAGGGCACACTTTAAATCAAAAAATGAAATGAAATCCATTTGGGCACAGCCTTATCCTTACTGAAGTGATGGGAGTTAAGCATGCCCAAAGAAGGGGTGATCTGGCCCTGTGTTTTTATTTATTGTGGATAAAAAATCCTTTTCTACCTCATAGACTTATTTTTGTCTTAAACAGATCAAAGCATGTCTGAAAGCAAACCCAGTGATACCAGAGTTATGATCTTCTCCTCATTTCGAGACAGCGTCCAAGAAATTGCTGAAATACTTTCCCAGCACGAGCCAATTGTCAGAGTAATGACCTTCGTTGGCCACTCCACAGGAAAGAGCATGAAGGGCTTTACACAAAAAGATCAGCTTGAGGTAAAGATATAATCAATCTTGTTTGAGAAGATGGGTGTAGGGAATGTGATGTGCTAATATATATTGTATAGAAATGACTGTGTAGTTTTAAGTTCCATTAGTAAATTGCTGTACTAAGTAAACCTCTAAGTAAGATCTCGAGATCTCTTGGTGCCAACTGGAGAGGGTCCAAGGGGTGCACAGGATTTTACAGAGATCCTCTGGATCAGATATATGCATAACAGTTCACCAAAGGGTGACATGTGTGGACTCTACTGAGATCCAAGGGCCCACCAGTCATCATAATCTTTGTGAAATGTAGGCATGGATAATATTTGAGGAGTTGTGTATCTATACTAAAAACTATGTTCTTAAGGTCTGGGAGCTGAGGCAAGTCACCAAGAAGTGACAGACCTCACACATGTTCCTTTCAGGCTGGAGGTAACAGATGCTTTTTTCTCTATCTGGCCATAAGTATTGTGTGTCTCACAATGAATGCCTATTTGCATACTCAGTGGAGGGGTATCCTGTTTCACTAAGACCAAAGAACTAGTCTGGTATATCAGGATGCAAAGAAGCACACAGGATCCTTCACTGAGAAGACAAGCTAACAGTATGTTTTATGAAAGGAGGGTCACAGCCAGCCTGGCTGTAAAGTACTGAAAGGATTTTGCATGAGCAATAGTCTATAACACATAAGAGTAGTTAATTAAGTCTAGACTCTAGAATGCATGTTACGATTTTATTTTATATGTAACAATTTGTTTCCAATACTTCTCCTAGCTATTACTTAAATGTCTGTGCTACGTTAAATAAACTTATACTTGACTTCTCCATAAACTTATCTAAGTGCTGTGTGTTACGTGGAGTGGTGACTTGAGGTGAAAGTGGTAAGTAGGGATGTATTGTTCTTTGAAAGTAGCAGACCTGTGAATATTGCGGATGTCTAGTGGATCAGGAGCTGGACACTCCAGGGAGACAGTTGGAGCTAATCTGTAGAGAGAGAGTGGGGCCTGCGTAGGCTTAGAGGAGGGAATGCTTGTGTTGCCCATGGCCAGTGGGGCTCGGGAGCTGACCCCCCAGCATACAGACATGGCTTCCTCACGCTGAAGTCAGATGGTAGTGTGGGATGTCTCAGCCCTGGGAAGCATGACATCCACTTGCAAAGTATTTTTTTTCAGGTCATCTGCCCAAAAAGAAATGTATAAAAGAGAAAATATTTGCATTTAATAATTTTGTGGTGTGATTTCTTTTAATAACAAATATGCAATATTTGAAAAGAATGAAAATGTCTGTGGAATGAATTGAGTACAGTGCTGTTTTCCCTAGTTTTTTGGAATTCTAAATGGTGAGACATACCCTAAAATCTTGACTTATTGGAGTAGTAGAAATACATATTTGTAATATTGAGAAACTGATTAGTAGGAGTAGGTTTCTCTTGTGTATGTCGTAGCTGGAGGCTGGATAAGGTGTGAAACATCTGTGATTCTGTATTTAAGGGTAGAATAACATTGATAATACTGACATACATAGCATTTGTTAGTCAGCAGTTTGAACTGGAATAGTTAACTGTTTTGGAAGGAGGTAGATTGTGCTTCTACAGTTTTTAGACAAGCTGAATTTTAATCACCGGGCTGGAATGTAAAAAGATGGTGAGAATTTATTTAGGACAGTAAAGGAGATTTATGATATGTGTTTTAATCCATTTTTAGGTGGTAAAATGCTTTCGTGAAGGTGGCTATAATACACTGGTCTCTACATGTGTAGGAGAAGAAGGGTTAGATATTGGAGAAGTTGACCTCATAATCTGTTTTGATGCCCAAAAAAGTCCAATTCGTCTTGTGCAGCGAATGGGTCGAACTGGGCGCAAGCGGAAAGGCAGAATTGTTGTCATACTTGCAGAAGGACGGGAACAACGGGTGAGTTAAGAAATCTCTCACTGTAGTATTTTCTAACTTTTCAGTCTCATCACTTATTCATAGAATCATAGAATAAAAGAGTTGGAAGGGACCTCTGGAGGCCATCTAGTCCAACCCCCTGCCCAGAGCAGGACTAATCCCAACTAAATCATCCCGGCCAGGGCTTTGTCAAGCCTGACCTTAAAAACTTCTAAGGAAGGGGATTCCACCACCTCCCTAGGTAACGCATTCCAGTGTTTCACCACCCTCCGACTGAAAAAGTTTTTCCTAATATCCAACCTAAATCTTCCCCCTGCGACTTGAGACCATTACTCCTTGTCCTGTCATCTGCTATCACTGAGAATAGTCTAGATTCATCCTCTTTGGATCCACCTTTCAGGTAGTTAAAAGCAGCTATCAAATCCCCCCTCATTCTTCTCTTCCGTAGACTAAACAATCCCAGTTCCCTCAGCCTCTCCTCATAAGTCATGTGTTCCAGACCCCTAATCATTTTTGTTGCCCTTCGCTGGACTCTCTCCAATTTCTCCACATCCTTCTTGTAGTGTGGGGCCCAAAACTGGACACAATACTCCAGATGAGGCCTCACCAGTGTCGAATAGAGGGGAACGATCATGTCCCTCGATCTGGCAATGCTCCTATTTATGCACCCCAAAATGCCATTGGCCTTCTTGGCAACAAGGGCACACTGTAGACCCCTATCCAGCTTCTCGTCCACTGTCACCCCTAGGTCCTTCTCTGCAGAACTACTGCCTAGCCATTCGGTCCCTCGTCTGTAGCGGTGCATGGGATTCTTCCGTCCTAAGTGCAGGACTCTGCACTTGTCCTTGTTGAACCTAATCAGATTTCTTTTGGCCCAATCCTCCAATTTGTCTAGGTCCCTCTATCTCCTATCCCTACCCTCTAGCATATCTACCACTCCTCCCAGTTTAGTGTCATCCGCAAACTTGTTGAGGGTGCAATCCACACCATCCTCCAGATCATTAATGAAGATATTGAACAAAACCAGCCCCAGGACCGACCCTTGGGGCACTCCGCTAGATACCGGCTGCCAACTAGACATGGAGCCATTGATCACTACCCGTTGAGCCCGACAATCTAGCCAACTTTCTACCCACCTTATAGTGCATTCATCCAGCCCATACATCTTTCACTTGGTGACAGGAATACTGTGGGCGACCGAGTCAAAAGCTTTGCTAAAGTCAAGGAGTAACACGTCCACTGCTTTCCCTTCATCCATAGAACCAGTTATCGCATCATAGAAGGCAATTAGATTAGTCATGCATGACTTTCCCTTGGTGAATCCATGCTGACTGTTCCTGATCACTTTCCTCTCGTCTAAGTGCTTCATAATTGATTCCTTGAGGACATGCTCCATGATTTTTCCGGGGACTGAGGTGAGGCTGACTGGCCTGTAGTTCCCAGGATCCTGCTTCTTCCCTCAAAAATTCTCACAAAACAATTGCATGCAGATTGATTAAAATCCTGGGGAGCTTGATGATGGTGGTGAACTCTTTGGGGTTTTTTTCAGTCCTAAGTCTTTCAAAGCCTTTGAGGCAGATAAGTAATTATACCTATTATACAGATGGGTAAACTGAAGCATATAAGGTTGTGACTTGCTCAAGGTCACAAAATAATTAGTGGCAGAGCTGGCATTAGAGTGGGGGACTTGAAGCTCCATGGTCCCCCTCCGCTGGCGGCTCTGAACTGCTGGGCTCCCCTGTCACTTGTGACAAGGTCCTCTGCTGCTCACAGTGAGGCGCGGTAGGCGTCCTCTGCTGCTCACGGCGGAGGGGAGTGCAGCAGGAGTATCTCACAGCTCCCTGTCTCCGCAGGCAACAGGGGACCCTGCAGCTCCCATCCAGCGCTGCCTAAAGTCACAGAGGTCTTTGGAAGTCACGGATTCCGTGACTAAATTGCAGCCCTAGTGATAAGCACTTTGGAACAGCAGCACTGAGTGTGAGGTGAGGTCTGAGGAGATCTGCATAAATTGAAATCTCCTGTAACTGTTAAAGAGTTGAGCATCCCATCTCAGCTTAACATTCTCACTCGATACTGTTCCAGTTCAAGATGTGATGTTTGTATCTGGCTTAGACTTTGAGATGACAGAGATTTGATTCTCAGACAAGGTATCCTTAGTCACTCCTGTCTGTTAAGAGGAACCTCTCAGAAGGGCATACTGTATTTGAAAAGAAAAAGGTGGGCGATATGTTGTTTAAATGTCATAAGTAGATATTTTCAGTTGCCACCTACAAAATCTGCCTGATTATTTTACATGTTTAAAAGCTCCCTGCGTCATGGGATACTAATGTGGTTGTTTGCTGAAGCTTCCTTTTGAAGCAGTTGTATTCCTGTGACCTTCAGGTTATTGCATGGAAACCTTTGAGGCAGACAGTTCTGATCATACATTTGTAAGCTTTAGATTCCACTTTAGCACAAGCTGGTCAGAGGAACACCACTTTTGGAAGGAAGCTAGGAATGGTGGGAGTGGGGAGTCAAGTCTCAGGTTTACATCCAAAGATTTTGGGGTCACAAGTGTAAGAAGAGGCATGTGAAAGCTCAGCCCCATACGTTCTAAACAGGAAAATTATTCAGGATGGTCGTCAGACAACTCCATACAGATTTTTCAAGGCGTATGCAGGCCTACTAGCACAACGTTTGTTTCCCTATATAGATTTTCCTCCTTAAAAAGTGTCACCTAACAAAAACTTCTTGCAAACTGTATGATTTAGGAGCTGATTGAGAGTTGGCGTTCTTCACTTGTAAGTAATCTTTTCAAATACAGTCCAAGTTAGCAGTGACCAGAAGTGGTTGCCAGCTGATGGCCTCTCTTGTCTCAGTCTGGTCCTACTAGACGGATGTCTGCATCACAGAAGAAATCACTTAGAATTGGCATCTTATTGGACTTCTCCTTTCGTGCTTTTAATAAGAAAAACAAAAGAAATAGTATTGTGTTTTTATACAGAAGTTTCATCTTGGTGAAGAAAGGGTATACAGATTATTATAGTTTTAAACCCCATAATTTTGCACAACTGGGAAAATTTAAATAGCTAGAAATCTAAAAAAATACCCCAAAAACGCTTAAAAATATTGATATTAATTGAAATCTGAAAAATAAAAATCAAACTTGGCCAAGTCACATTGTATTTAACCTAGATTACTCTAAACTCCTTCAGGGAGGGGTGGTCTCCCCCCCCCCCCCCCAAGGTTCATGCCCACTTTTGATACTGTGTCCAAAAAAAATTTAATTCTGTATAATACTTTTGTTGTAGTTATGTCTTACTGGGGGGTTTCTTATTCAGATGACATGTTCTCAGACATCTCTGTCTTTTCTTCAGTGCTATGTATTATGCTCTGCATGGTTTTCATAAATGAATTTGTTAGGCCATCTCCTCACCTCATTTTAGTTGCCTGCAGTAAGTGAGTGGAAAGGTAAGAATGGGCTGAGAAGAAAGGAAGTGGCAGTCTTTTTGTTCTGTGTTAGGTTGTTTTTTCTTCCACTGGAACTTTTAAGATGTTTTTCTGTGTAGCTGGATGACCTGATTATTGTCATGCATATCTTTCTCTTCCTTTCCTCTGTTCGTCCTGAGATGGGGTCAGATTGTGAACCCCTTACTGACAGCTCTGTGAACCCGTTACTCTCACAAGTAGTTCAATTGACTCCATTGGGGCGATTCATGTGAGTAAAGGAGTCACAATCTGGCTTTGATGTGTCGCATCAAATTTGGCCTGTATTCTTTTGTTTTTGACAGGTTTCAGAGTAGCAGCCGTGTTAATCTGTATTCGCAAAAAGAAAAGGAGTACTTGTGGCACCTTAGAGACTAACACATTTATTTGAGCATAAGTGAGCTGTAGCTCACGAAAGCTTATGCTCAAATAAATGTGTTAGTCTCTAAGGTGCCACAAGTACTCCTTTTCTTTTGTTTTTGTAACACGTTTGGGGACTCAAAAATATAATCCGTAACAAAAGTATTAAAAAATACCTGAATGTTCAAGTGCCCTTTTAATTCTCTTAGTCATAAGGTGAAACTCTCCAGTAACAAGTGGCTTATCCTCTATTTTACAGACTTACAATCAAAGCCAGTCCAACAAAAAGAGCATTTACAAAGCAATTTCGGAAAACAAAATGCTTCACTTTTACCAGCAAAGCCCTCGTCTGATTCCTGAAGGAATAAACCCAAAGTTGCACAAAATGTTTATCACTCCTGCAATATATGAACCAAATAATTCAAGATCACTTTCCAAAGAGAGAAAATCCAGCTCCCTCCAGCATAAATCCGCTCTCTTTTCCATGGGCACAAGTAAGATGATGATGATGATGATTTCTTTACACGTATTATGTAACCAGTGGTTCTCAAACTAGTTACCATTGTGGGCTGCATCCAATACTACCTGTATGGCCCTGAGGATGTCACATGGACCGCAGCTGTGTGCTGATTGGGCCAGGGGTTTAGAACCATTGGTGTAAGCTGGTGTCTTGACTGCATTGTGATACTGAAACATGCACAAAACTGTTCATAAGTGTTATGGGTCGTTAGTAAAAAATATAATTTATCTTACTCATAACTTTTCGGTTCCAATATTATGATGAGACCACTTGTTTATATACAAGTTCCAATTCTTTCAGCATCCTTGAATCATAGTTATTCCCTTAGTGTGTACAGTGTGAATCAGCTACTTGTCTCACTTTTTTCCTTAATTCAACTCCCAAGTGTTTGCTGGGTCTTAAACAAGTATATTGCATCAAAAGGTTTTTGCATCTTTATCAGGCTCTGTAACTTAGGCAGGAATTGTTTTCTTGACTAATTTTAATAATATTAGAAAAACTGCTGAAAATTCACCACATATTTTAGCAGATAACTATAGATCATAGAATATCAGGGTTGGAAGGGACCTCAGGAGGTCATCTAGTTCAGCCCCCTGCTCAAAGTAGGACCAATCCCCAACTAAATCAAGATGGAATGCTCCCTGTATTTGCAGAGCTCTTGTTTCAGTCTGAAAAATGGCAGGGTCTTAGACCTGACCCATTGGAACTATAGATTCCTAGGTCAGAAGGGACTATTGTGATAATCTAGTCTGACCTCCTGCATTACACCGGTCATAGAACTTCCGCATAATAATTCCTAGAGCAGATCTTTTTAAGTAAAACATCCAGTCTTGATTTTTTTAAAAGTATCGATGGAGAATCCACTGTGGTAAATTGTTCAAATGGTTAATTACCCTGTACACGCTCTGCTCAAAAATTATGCCTCATTTCCAGCCTAGCACCAGCTAATAGCCATTGGGTCATGTTATATCTTTCTCTGCTTAAACCGAAGAACCCATTATTAAATGTTTGTTCCCCATGTAGATACTTAAATCTTTTGTCGACCCTTTGGCCATTTCACGTTCTCTTGTTTGGTAAGAAGAGGGGGACCCTCAGAACAGATAGGAATAACCAAAGACTCTTCTAATACATTGGAAAAGGTAAAGGTGTGATCAGCACCACAGCTTGTGTCCAGGGAACTGCTTGTTCTACCACTTGAGATTAGGTTCATCCAAGAAGTTTTTAATCTAACCCCTTCCCTTCTTCTCTCCTGCCCCCAAGACTTGATAATTCATCTCTGAAAGCAACTTGGCTCATTCCAGTAGTGTACAACTTAAAAGAAAATGTCAATGAATTCTGGTACTTCATTACAGGATGACTGAAAATTTACATAAACAGAATATGTTTTTAAATCCCTCCTAATCCCTTTTCTCAAACGTCCCTTTGTCGTTAATGTTTAACCCCCCCCCCAGACCCTTTTTTGACTACCAAACTTTCTCCCACCCCGACAAGGTCCAACGCGTTGCCCAGGGGTCGGCCCGGCCCCCTCCCGTCCCTCTGCCCTCGCCCCAACCAGATGCCGCCAGGAGACAGGAAAAGCACTTTGATCTCTTTCCTGTTTGGGCAAGGAGGTGACCCACCATCAGCAGAGGTGACCAGATGCCCAGATCCAAGGCCCAGCAGGACGGGGAGGGGGTCGATCGTGTTTGGGGAGAGGACGTCTATCAACCCTTCCGTTGAAACCAAAACCTTTCGAAAACCCCAGGGCAGAAGGACAGGCCAAACGGGCCCGAAGCGGAAACGAAGGAGCGAGCAAGCCCCAGAAAACCGAGAGGCAACCCCGTCACCCCAAACTGCCTCATGATGGCTCCCTTTAGGGGGTTCAGCCCCACTACCCCAGCCGTGTTGTTTGCTCCTTCAATGGAGATGGAGGCAATACAGAAGTAGGTTTTGGGGACGAAGAAGATGATGATGAGGAGGTTGTAGATAGCTCACAGCAAGCAAAGAAACGTTTTCCCACACCAGGAACTGTTTCTCACCCTAGACCACCACCCCCGAACCCACCCAAGGCTCTCCTGGACTCAGCAGGCGGAGAAGGGACCTCTGGTGAGTGTACCTTTTAAAATGCTATACATGGTTTAAAAGCAAGCATGTGAAAGGATTACTTTGCCCTGGCATTTGCGTTCTGCTTGCAAAGGTTTCGGGGAGGCGCCTTTTCGTCCTTCATGGTAGGACCTTTACCACTCCAGCCAGCAACACGTACTGGGGAATCACTGAGAACAAAGCGCAGTGTAGTTTGCTGGCATTCAACCAAAATCACGCGGTGGGAGGAGGCAAAATCCCTTGAACGAAAGCACTGTGCATGATGAATGTTAACAGCAAGGTTTACCCTGAAAGAGGTACCACTGTTTTATAAAATGTGTCTTTTAAATACCCTTCCCTTTTTTCTCCACCAGCTGCTGTGTTTCAACATCACAGGTCTTCTCCTTCCCAGAGGCTAGTGAAGCAGAAAAAAAAAAAACCGCGATGAAGTTCCCGAGCTCGCCCCCACACGACAGAGCCGCGTGCGGGAGGCAAATAATGTCAGAGGCAGGAAAGCACAAAATGACCGGGAGGAGAGGTGGAGGGGAAGAGAGAAGGGCGGGCTGAAGAGAGAAGTGGCGGGCGAAGAGAGGGCGAAGCCAAGGTGGCGGCAGGTGATGAGAGGAGGCAGGATTCAAGCGAGGCGCTGCAGACCAAACCAGTATGCCAGTGATGGTTGAGCTGCACAAAGGCAGCTCACACTGCCACTCCCCCTCTGAACCACCCCCTCCTCCCCAAGTTCCATAGCCCCACACCCAGCCCCAAGAACGCGGGGGGAGGCCCCGCCACCAGCCACTCCCCCACAGAGGTTGCCCAAAAAAAGAAGGCTGTCATTCAATAAATTTTAAAGTTGTAAACTTTTAAAGTGCTGTGCTAAAGTGCTGTGTGGCATTTTCCTTCCCTCCTCCACCACCCCTCCTGGGATACCTTGGTAGTCCCCCCTATTTGTGTGATGAATGAATAACGAATGCATGACTGTGAAGCGCAATGCTTTATTGGCTCGCAAGCAATGATAAAGGGAGGAGGGGGAGGGTGGTTGGCTACAGGGAAGTAGAGTGAACCAAGGGGTGGGGGGTTCATCAAGGAGAAACAAACAGAACTTTCACACCGTAGCCTGGCCAGTCAAAAACTGTTTTTCAAAGCTTCTCTGATCTCCCCCTCCTGTGCTCTTCTACCCCCTGGTGTCTGGCTCCAACCAGCAGCCAGCGTTTGCCTCAACCTCCCACCCCGCCATAACTCTCCCCCTTACTCTCACAGATATTGTGGAGCACACAGCAAGCAGAATAACAGTGGGAATATTGGTTTCGCTGAGGTCTAAGCAGTCAATAAACTCCACCTTAAATCCAAATGCACATTCTACCACCATTCTGCCTTGCTCAGCTGTAGTTGAACAGCTCCTGACCACTGTCCAGGCTGCCTGTGTACGCTTCAGAGCCATGGCATTAAGGGGTAGGCGGGTCCCCAAGGATACATATAGGCATTTCAACATCCCCAACAGTTATTTTCTGGTCTGGGAATAAAGTCCCTTCCTGCAGCTTTTGAAACAGACCAGAGTTCCTGAAGATGCAGCATCATCACCTTTCCCGGCCATCCCACGTTGATGTTGGTGAAACGTCCCTTGTGATCCACCAGAGCTTGCAGCACTATCGAAAAGTACCCCTTGCGGTTTATGACCGGCGGCTTGGTGCTCCGGTGCCAAGATAGGGATATGGGTTCCATCTATAGCCCCACCACAGTTAGGGAACCCATTGCAGCAAAGCCACCACTATGACCTGCACATTTCCCAGGGTCCTACCCTTGATATCAGCAGATCTTTGATTGCGTGGGCTACTTCATCACAGCCCCCCACAGTAGTTTGCCCCTCCAAATTGTTCCCAACTGCTAGTGTCTGGTGCAAGCTTCCACAGCTCCACCCTTCTCAACTGTGAGGGCTGCTCTCATCTTGGTATTCATGCGCTTCAGGACAGGGGAAAGCAACCAAAGTTCCAGAAGTGCCCTACCAGGAAAGTTTCGAGCCACTGGAACGCCCAGACCTGCAACACTATCCCCACCAGTCTGTGCTTGTTTCCGAGCCCAGAATCGGCTTCCACAGCATGAACCTGCCCCATTAGCACCATGATGCATGCATTGTCACCCATGCTTTCAGAGAAATCTGTGTCCATGTCCTGACACTCACACCCGCTGACCCCTCCTCGCCCGTATCTGCCATATTCGGTGCGCATATACTGTGAATAATGCGTGTGGTGGTTAATGTGCTCCTAATTGCCAAAGTGAGCTGAGCGGGCTCCATGCTTGGTGGTATGGCGTCCGCACAGAAAAAGGCGCGGAACGATTGTCTGCCGTTGCTCTGACGGAGGGAGGGGCGACGACACACGGCTTACAGGGTTGGCTTCAGGAAGCTAAAATCAACAAAGGGGGTGCCTGTACATCAAGGAGTATTTCAGGCAGGACTGCACGGAGGGTTCCAATAAGAAATGGTGCACCTAAGTTATCGTTGTTATTGGAACAAGGAGGTTAGCCTGGCCTCTGATTGATACATGGCTAGATTTACCTCGCTGCACCTTCTCTGTGAGTGACTGCAGTGTGACCTAGAGGAATGAGTCCCCTAGACAGGGGAGGAGGCAAATGAGTACAAAACAAATCTGGTCTATTTCTTGTTTTGACCCACTCCATCTATCTTTTACATCTTTGGCTGGCAGCAGACGGTGCAGAAGGACTGCAGCCATCCACATCTCATGGCTGCTCGGCAGAAGATGGTACATACCCTGCTAGCCATCCCCATCTCTTGCCTGCCTGGCAGAAGATGGTGCAATACACTCTAGCAATCCTCATCTCTTGCCTGCCTGGCAGAAGATGGTACAGTACGACTGCTAGCAGTCCATCCCTGCCTGCTCACCATAAGACGGTTCAATA